TTATTATAACTCATCCATCTTCATTTGTCTCCACAGATTCGCTTCCAGTCTGGGCCATAGTTCTACTGGTTCTACTGGTTCTGGCTCTGGTTCTGGCTGCTGCTGCAGGAGTTTCTGTTTATTTCTGGTTCCGCTGGAAACCAGGTGAGTCTCTAGAGCTGCATTACCCATAATGCCTTTGGTCAGTGTCTGCTCTCCTCCACAGCAGCTCCCGGTGCATTGTGGGTCAGCAGCTCCCAGTGCATTGTGGGTCAGCAGCTCCCGGTGCATTGTGGGCCAGCAGCTCCCGGTGCATTGTGGGTCAGCAGCTCCTGGTGCATTGTTGGTCAGCAGCTCCTGGTGCATTGTGGGTCAGCAGCTCCCGGTGCATTGTGGGTCAGCAGCTTCCTGTCTCTCTGTCAGCTTGAGGACAAACAGAACCTAAAGAGTCGGTGAGGATGGAGCAGAGCTTGGTGGGTTGCTGCCAGGCAGCAGCTGGTTCCACTTCATCACCAGATCAGGGGACATGGACACATGTCTCTGTCCTCCAGGAGACAGAGAGACAGGGAGGAAACAGTCATGAGACCATCAGAGCTGCTGCTGTCTGTCCAACTCATCTTGTCCTCTGTTGTCTCTCAGTCCTAGAAAAGGTGGAGGTGGAACCATGGGAGGAGTCTGTCCTGCTGCCCTTTAAGGTCCCACATCGCCTGTGGTTCTGTAAATACAGAATCCTTCTGTCTGTGGCTAAAGTGGAGTGGAGGAATGTTAGAGACAACAGGAAGGTCCATGTGTATCAGAACGGTTCTGATCAGCCTGGAGAACAGGACGAGTTCTACAGAACCAGAACCAGGATGGATGAAAACCTGCTGAAGACTGGAGACCTCAGTCTGACTCTGTTATGGCCGAGTGATGGAGACGGTGGGATCTACAGCTGCAGAGTCTACAGCAGGAAGGGAGACGTCCTGATGGAGAAACAAGTCTGGCTAAAGGTCAAAGGTCAGTGGTTTAAATGTATGTTTAGAGGCCAAGCAGAGGAACTGTTTGGATCAGAACCAGTTCCATCTTTTCTTTCTGAACTAGATTGGTTCTGGTTCTGGTTGGTTTTTATTTACTAGTTGACATTGACATGTAGCTGGTTCTGATTCAGAACCATTTACCCCCTGACCTCTATCAGAACCCTGAATCCTTCCAGAACCCATCAGAACCGGGCCTCAGAGGTCCAGAACCTCCTGGTCCAGTAGCTCCATCAACCCGTCCAGAACTCAGAAGCTTCATGTCCATGTGGACTGAAGGACGTCCTGATGTGGGACAGAACCAGAACCCTGACAGAACCGGCCTCAGTCCAACTGGACCTTCTGTCTCCAACAGAGGACAGGAAGTTCTGAGGTTCTGCTTCCTGTCCTCTGATTGGTCCACACTGAAGAGACGGAGCAGCCTGTCCTCTGCTGGTCTCCATGGAGACGTGTCCTCGTCTTTCTGCCAGTCTGAGTCCAACTGGAGACAAATGATGGACAGAACCAGCTGGACACAGAGTCCAACAGCTGCTGGGGACAGTCTGCAGCTTCCTGCTGTCCTCACTGAGGACATTCTGTCCACCTGCTGCTGGTTGGACACAGCAGAGACAACAGTGTCTCTGTTCAGTGGAGACATGGGACACATTTCAGATGGAACCAGTCCAACATGTTGGACCTTCATCCAGTCAGAGGACATGTCCTCAGAGCTGCTGCTGTCTGTCCAACTCATCTTGTCCTCTGTTGTCTCTCAGTCCATCAGGTGGAGGTGGAATCAGTGGTGGAGTCTGTCCTGCTGCCCTGGACAATCACAGAGGATCTGGATGGAGACGTTAGAGTGGAGTGGAGGGACAGCAGAGACAAGAAGGTCCATGTGTATCAGAACGGTTCTGATCAGCCTGAAGAACAGGACCAGCGCTACAGAACCAGAACCAAGATGGATGAAAACCTGCTGAAGAATAAAGACCTCAGTCTGACTCTGAGACGACCGACTGATGGAGATGGAGGGATCTTCACCTGCAGAGTCTACAACAGGAAGGGAGACGTCCTGATGAAGAAACAAGTTCAGCTGGAGGTCAAAGGTCAGTGGTTTAAATTTATTTTT